CTTGTCCCAGGGCCCAAGGTGCCCTACCGCGTGTCCTGCACTTACCAAAGTTGTCGGAACCGGCAGGGGGTCGGTAATATGTGTTCATTAGTTTAATATTTTCCCCGAGACAAACAATTTGGACATTGCATTTATTGTATTGTTTCTGGTCTGCCATAGTTTTAATTCCCATATTGTAATCTATTACAATTAAAATTGGAGCCGGGGGAGGGAGGGGATTTTTATTGGTTTTATTTTGGCTTGCTCAATCTTACATATAAAATGCTTTTCATAGGTGCCATTTTCGGGGTGTACCCATACCCAAAAAACCCAGGACCAAGAACCCAGATATTCGAATGGGCATACACTGTTTCGGCATATAATATCAAATGTGGTCATTCTCTCATTTGTAGATATACCCAGTGAACAGCAATGTCCACGTGTACCCTTACGCCACAACCTTCGACTGCACAACCTTACCCCATAACCGGCTGTCGCTTCACGACATCGCATGGGTAAGATATCACATCAGTATTATTAGATAATATTATATGATTGTCCGTTAAATGAAGGCTACTAATATATATGTATTATAACATGTAAATGACTGTTAAATACTAGTAAGGTTGTTGACAACACCTTGACCGTTATAGTCCGGACGTCAGTTTCGAGAACCCACTTTTGATTGATATATAATGTTTCTCGGTGGATTATTCTTGGGTAGGGTCCCCTTGATTTTTCCCGAGTGGGTGTGTTCGTGTCACCCTTGGGGAAAATTAAATATTCAAGATGGCGGCCAAAAATGGCAGGAAAAATACAAAAAATAATTTTTCACCATCCTAGGTCGTGTAATATATCGTTTTATAGGTTTTCGGGATCGCTGAACACGAATTCGGGCATATTTTTAACATCTGACCGATTCCGACAAAGATATTCAACATGGCGGCGGAAGTACAATAATTTCACATTTCGCCCTACTAGGTCGTGTAATATATCGTTTTATATGTTTTGGGGGTCGCTTAACGCGAATTCGGACACCTTTTTTTACATAAGACCCATCATGAAGGCGGAAAATAGAAAAAAAATACAAAGTTCACACAGCTAGATATATGGTAAATCATTTCAGAAATTTCAATTTTAGCTAAACCAATAAGTAACAAAAAGATACGATATGTAAAACATATAATCAAAGCAATATCAATGTTAATGTATCAAATTGTTCCACCTTCATCATCTTCTTTGTCTTCATCATCCGTATCCTCTGTTCCAGTCTCAAATGAGATGGAATTGAAGCATTTGTCTGAATTGGAACAAGAACAAAATCAGAAGATGATAAATCTGATTTTTTACAGCCACAACGGCCGCTTTAATATAGCTACTCAGATTGACACCCGCATTTCATAACTTTTATCAAGACATCCGGTACCATCTTAGTACTATCTGGTACCTTTCTGGGCAGTAGTGATTTTTTGGGGCTGGAAGAGATGAACCTAAAACGACCCTATCTTCAATTAAAAGTATGGTTTTCAGCCCTGGAAACCGATCCACCAGACTTAAGTCAACTAGACTACGGCTGGGGTGAGGACTCTTCCAACCCCAAAAAATCACTAGTGCCTAGAATGGTACCAGATGGTATTAAGATGGTACCGGATTTTCTGATAAAAGTTATAAAATATGGGTGTCAATCTGAGATGCTATGTCAAAGCGGCCGTTGTGGCTGTAAAAAGTCAGATTCATCATCTTCTGATTTTTGTTCTTGTTCCAATTCAGACAAATGCTTCAATTCCGTCTCATTTGAGACTGGAACAGAGGATACGGATGATGAAGACCTAGAAGATGATGAAGATGACACAATATGATACATTAATATTGCTTTGGTTATATGTTTTACATATCGTATCCTTTTGTTACTTACAGTTTTACCTAAAATTGAAATTTCTGGAATTAATTATCATAAATCTAGCTTTGTGAACTTTGATTTTTTGCTATTTCCCGCTTTCATGGTGGGTCTTATGTTGAAAAAATGTCCGAATTCGCGTTAAGCGACCCCCATAACATGAAATTATATATTACACGCCCTAGTAGGGCGAAATATGAAATTCTTGTACTTCCGCCGCCATATTTGGTCACCATTTTGAAGATCTTTGTCGGAATAGGTCAGGTGTTAAAAATATGCCCGAATTCGTGTTCATCGACTCCGAAAACATGTAAAACGATATATTACACGAGCTAGGATGGTGAAAAATGATTTTTTTTTTTTTTCCAGGCATTTTTGGCCGCCATCTTGAATATTTAATTTTCCCCAAGGGTGACACGACCACACCCACCCTGGAAAAATCAAGGGGGCCCTACCTAACAATAATCCACCGAGAAACATTATATATCAGGCAAAAGTGGCTTCAGTAATAATTTGGCATGTGCCGCCCCGACTATTATAGATGATCTCAGGTAGACGCATAACGCAGACAAACTTATCAAGAGACCACTGTACAAGACAATGGAAACAGATGTGAATAATGACTGCAGCCTGTTATGATATTTTATGTTCCTGTGTGCTGTATTGGATTTTAGAATTATAGATGTAACAACTTGTAATATTTGTTCCTGCATTGCTGAAATAAAAAAATCAAATCATTAGATCCCATGTTACACATGTAGATAATCTAGAAAAACCAGGACATACTCTAGAAAGAACACTTGGTAAGAACCAGTTGCGCCCTGTTGGAACTTAACCTTTGGTCCTTACCTTGTATTATGTGTAACCACATGTTCATTTAAATATGGCCTACCACCTGTAGTACTTTCCCCTCGAACTAAACATAAATTGTTTAATGGAATTTTCGATAAAAAGGGGATGCGTGTTCCTCTTCTGAGAAGGAAATATCTCTCGTGCCTCGTTATGGGTAAAATTAACCCTATGCCCAAATTTTACTAATGAATGGAAAGTTAACAATCGGAAAGGCAAAGTCATCACGTTTATCGTCCAATTTAACACTCAGTTTATGGCAATTTTCAAAATCGAGACGCAGATCCAAATAGAAAGCATAATTGTCACTGTCAGTAGTATTTTTAATTTCGAGATCATCAGGATATATGAATTCTACATAATCACTAAATTTATGATTATTAAGTGAAATTCAAACGTCTGACTAATCGTTTATTTATTAGATACAAATCAGCAAGCAAAGATGCACAGTTGGTGTCCATGGGGATGCCTACTACTTGCTGATATATTTCCCCTTCAAATTCAACGAAGATATTATCAATTAAAAGTCCAACATCTGAATTATCTTGTTGGCGGTGCATTTATTTTTGCAATTACTATGGTTGTAATTAACAACTAGATATTCATATCTAACAGTGCCCGATTTAGTTGAAAAGACTCCGTGAATAATGTCTTTCAACCGAGCTTTTAATTTACTGTGGGGAAGTTTAGTGTACAAGGTAGAAAAGTCAAACGTTTGTATAGATGAGATGAAGCAAGTGATCTAGATTGCAAACCATCAAGTGATTCTTTGGAATTTTCGAAGAAAGTAGGGGACTAATAAAATGGGTATGTCTGTCCGTCCGTCTGTCTCTTGGTCCGTCTGTCCGTCAAACTTTTTGGGAGACAATAACTCTCCTTCTAATTGAGCTAGAATGTTCAAACTTGGTGTGGGTGTTTATTGGGTCAATGCTTAGGGTAAACAGAGATAAGCAATTTGGTTGGTTGATACTTTGGGACACGGTAATTTTAGTTCTAATTAAGTCATAGAGATGAAATTTTAGTTCTAATTAAGTCATAGCGATAAAACGTGGTGTAGGTATTTTATTAGGTCAATGCTCTGATGGAGTTCGAGGATGAGCATTTTCTGCTTAGGGTAAGCAGAAATAATCAATTTGATTGTTTGATGCATTGGGACACAATAACTTTAGTTCTAATTAAGTGAGAGTGACGCAATTTGGTGTATAGTTTTATTACATCAATACTTTGACTAAGTTCAATAATGAGCATTTTCTGCTCCGGGGAACAGAGCGATAAGAAATTTTACTGGTCGAGACTTCTAATTGAGCTAGAATATCCACACTTAGGTGTTTATTAGGTGAATGCCTTGATGGAGTTCGAAGATGAGAATTTTCTGTTGAACAATTTGCAATTGAACCTAATTTTACTTGCGCAATGCCTCGAATAGTGTATCAATTGCAGCCGTAAATAAAAATTCGCACGGCTACAAATATTGCAGCTACAGGGGCTAGATGTAGGCACTGAAGAATGTCGAGGTTTCCCGAGTGTGTTAGTCTGTTCTTCCATTTTGCGTGAAGCCTGTGTCATTTTAGACCCGGGACTGTATAGCGCTTACGACTAGCCTTCGGATGCATTCTCTTCCGATGTGTGCGTTTGTTGTGTCTTGTGTACATTGAGTCCTGTCTGTAGGCTGGTCTTGTTATTGCACCTACTATTAACAGATTGTATCTTATGCCACCATGAACAATTACACAAAGGTTTTAATCTCTTTTACGTATATCAGCTTTGTACATTTGAGTTCTGAATAGTATCTGCATTAAGGCCCCTATATGTACAAACCGACACGGGTCTGAAATAAATTTATTCCTGGGTTCTTTTGAAATGAACAATCGTAATAATATCAGGTTAATACATGGTGTGAATATTAACGTTATTTACATCAGGAATAAGGACATATATTTCAAACACAAGGCTAAATCATGAAGTCCACTCAATAATTAACCATCCGCTAATAATCTGCTTGTTTTCCCCTATTAACCAATATCGGGAAGCAAGAACAAACAACTGAACACGCATCCCAATTTATGATTTCTAAATTTTTATTATAAAATTGCTTTGATGAAATAGTTGTGTTTGGTTTTTTAGATTGTAATCTGTATATCTCAAATTTCACGAATAACGAAAAACGAATGTCAAACTAACTTCACACTGCCTAATAATAAATTTTGTAACCTGCGCAACGAAGCGTGTCAATGGATTTATCTCCCTTACATGTACTCGAAACTTCACGCACACACACACTTATAGGAAGGAATTATTTTTCGGAGTTGCCCTTAAAAGATGTAAAAACATATTTCACCAGACCCCCACAAGACTGGTGATTAAACAGGTGAGTTCGTATGATACAGGGCTGTTCCAGCCATGATTAACATGTGAAGTCTTACACGAGTAAGGTGTGACGCAAACGTTTGAATGAGTATTACCGCTTCCTGGTTTACTTTTCATTTTAATTTTAATTATTATTGATCAGTGATCAGTCTATACATATTGGTTGATCTCACTACTACTTTTTTCATTCATTTTTTCATTTCTGTCTTTGTATATGAATTATGGGTTAGGGTTAGTGACAATTAACTTGGGATTGAAAAATTTCAAATCCGCAAATCATTTTGCCTGGTTTTCTTTCACTTTCACTTTCTTTCTGAGTCAATGTCCAATCTTGCTCAATCTCTCTTTTAATATCTCCCTTACTAATTCTCACACACCACCAGCATCACACCATCGTTTATTCAAAGAGATTGTCCATTTCTGATAGCATCTTTGTAAAAAAAGGACCCCCCCAAAAAGTAGCCAGATCAGCCAACAATGCCCTGTCATACCGAGCGGAATCTCTCACCCGTATTCGAAATGAAGCTAGCACACATATTCCTAGCGCCAATAAAAACCGACATATAACTATCACGAAAATAATTGTTACCTTTATATTAGAAAATAACATGTTAAGACATATTAATGCAAAGTATATATGTAATAGACCCCCCCCCCCAAAAAAAAAAAAAAAAAAAAAAAAAACTATTACCGTAAACATACTAAAATATCGAACACTAGGTTAACTGAGCACGCAGAAAAGGAGTATGTCCGCGCTGCATCAAAACGCACCGAAACCAGCTTTGGTGGCAAAATATTTTGTATTTCATGAAGTCAAGGGATGAATAAACTACTAGAATACAAAATTTCAGAAGCGTCCTATGTTGGCTTTTCGATATATATTACCGTAAACATACTAAAAATATGGGGGAATCGGGTTAGGGTAGGCTCACTGCGCACGCATTAACTTCTAAACTAGCTTTGGTGACTCCAAGATCTTTATTTCACCAAATTGACCGATGCATAAGGTATGAACATGCCAAATTTCATTAACTTTCTATGCTGGCGTATCGAGTTATACCACCGCAAGGTTCCTAGCACCCGGATTCCAGGCGGCGTTGAAGGGTTCAATAAACAAGGGGTACGCTCAAGCTGCATCAAAAAGCATCCAAACCAGCTTTGGTGGCAAAATGTTTTTTTGCTTTACGGAAACAAGGGATGAATAAACTACTAGAATACAAAATTTCAAAAGCTTCCTATGCTGGCTTTTCGAGATATATCACCGTAAACATACTAAAACTCATCCTCGGTTACCCAGTGGACTCATTCCGTTCTACTACACTATACCCTCGGTTAATCTATGGGGGAGACACGTTTTCAAGTTATCCGCCCTTGATGATTGTGCTATTTTTATCGACCAATCCCATAAATTGTTATATGAAAAGGAAGTTGGCAAAGGAGAGTAACTCTCATCGGACAATGTTAGGAGTTGGCCTATTCTAAATGGACACAGCTCACCAAATATTTCTACGCCGTCACCCACGAATCAAGGGCCAAAGTTATTTTTAGTCTCTCTCTCCCTTTCCTTTCCCTTTTTCCCCCTTTTGCATGGCGATTTTTGTTGACTTTTTGGTGTAGAATCGAAAAAAAGGGTTTGAAAATACATTTTCTGCCAGGTTTTGGTGAATAGTCATGATTTTGAGACGGAAGGATACAAGAGTTGTGAGGTTGGTTATGTTGAAATGTAGGGCCGGAAATTGCATGTTTACTTGTCTCTACTTCCAACTTGTGTATCTCAAGTTTTTCATGGTGAACCTCATACATGCTTTTGGGCAAGAGTTTGCCACATGTTGCTCCATCTGTGGCAGAAAGCGTTCTACCCAACGAAAATTTGGGGAAAAGTTAGAGCCAGTCTAAGAGACGAGAATTAACATTAAAGTCAATGGGGAAATAATTAGTGATCTGCTACATTCTAGGCCAGGGCAGATAATTTGAAATCGTGGAAACCCTATGGATTAACCCAGGGTATAGTGGAGTAGAACGGAATGAGTACACTGGGTAACCGAGGATGACTAAATAATATGTCTTAAAATTTTATTTTCTTATATAAAGGTAACAATTATTTTCGTGATGATTATATCTAGGTTTTTATTGGCGGTAGGAATATGTGTGCTAACTTCATTTCGAACACGGGTGAGAGATTCCGCTCGATCCCTGTCATCATGTAAATTAATGTCTATTTCATATCCTATTTAAAAATCACATACTGGATTTACACGCCTGATAACATGCATTATCAACCACTTATATACATTAGGTAGGCATACACACGATAACGACAAGTCTTTATATTATAGCCACAATATATTAGAAAGATACGACGATAACCACTTATATATCATGAACAAGACACATATTAAGTCAATTCTCCTATAAGAAACACTCATCAGTTGTTTCAAAGGTATTTAGTAATTGAATTGGAATACACAGGTCACAATTCTATGAAATACAATTACTGCTTATTACTAGGCTTCTCTATAGTCATTATCAAGCAATGATAAAATATAAAAATATAACAAGACAATATATACATGTGTACAACAATGGTTGGTTAATGCTGACCGACCAGAGATACTCTTCTAATTATCTTAAAGGGAACCTAACTTAGGATTATAAACGTTTAATGCTAATAACAATTCAGTTCGAATTCCGTGCAAATCCCCCCCCCCCCCGGGTGTAGGGGGTGATAAGAATATACCCTTCGTAGTTCCTGCGTGTCGTAAGAGGCGACTAAAAGGATGCCTGTAATGGGGCAACGTGTTTGCCGTGCGTTGCGACCCGTGTAGGTGGAGAGTGGAATCCTGGTAATTGAGTGGGGATTTGGCTTGCGAGTTCTTTCTCTGCAACACATTACTTTGGCCCATGGTTCACCTAGACGGGAGGTCAGAGTGGGCCACTCTGATCAATCGGCTTTGGTCGTTTTTAGCTCTGTAGAATGTACGTTTTTCCAATTTCATTGCTTTGTTTTTTTCCCTCAGCTAGTTTACCTTTGTGTCCTGAGTACATTCTACAGAGCGGCGGCTTGGGTCAATCGGGTTAGTTAAGTATTTATACTTACTGGCTTGAGTATACCCCTCGTCGAGCCCCGAGGCAATGCACTGGTAATCCGTGCTAGACCCCCCCCCCCCTGGTAGGCAGGGAAGTAACCTGGGGGACGAAGAGGGGTGAATTTTAAAAAAATTATTTCATGGATCCCCCAGTGCCCCCCCCCCCCCACCAATTAGTAAAAAGAAACAGAAGCGTCCTAATTCAGAGGACGTTTCTGATTGATTAACAAACACTTTAAAAATATCAAAGACATGGCCGAGGTTTCTCTTAATTGAGAGTCCCTCTACTGACTTATCGAAGGTATCACCATTTTTAATAACCAAGGGCTTAGCCTGTGAGCCCAAGGCTATTAAAAAACTTAAAAACGGAATTCTTTTGATAGAATGCGCTAAGGAACAGCATGCTACCATGCTTCTTAAATCAACATCCTTAGCGGACATTCCTATTAAGGTGTCTCCACATAGGTCTTTAAACTCAAGTAGAGGTGTAATTCGCTGTCGGAATCTTAAAGGCAGCAGTGGGGAAGACATGGTGGAATACCTTTCTGCTCAAGGCGTTTCACATGTTAAAAGAATTAGTGTACGCCGAGGAGAAAAGGTGATTCCCACAAGCACCTATATCCTCACTTTTAATCGTCCCGACATTCCAAAGACTCTCAAGGCAGGTTATCTTAACATACCTGTTGATTCTTACATCAGTAACCCATTACGATGTTACAAATGTCAGAAATTTGGACATAGCAAAACCGTCTGTAGAGGTAAGGACACCTGCGCTCGCTGTGGTCATGATGTGTTGTATAAATTGCAAGGGTGAGCACTTTGCTTACTCTCGCGAATGTCCAATATGGCAAAAGGAAAAAGAATTCAACAGGTAACGTCAGAACGTAAAATATCTTATTATGATGCTCGAAAGCAAGTAGACTTAACTGCGCTTTTCCCGTTCCATCTCAAGGGAAATATTTTGCAAGCGCAGTGAAAGTATCCACCAAAAGCATCTCTGTTCAGACAGATATAACCTGGACAAATAAAGGGAAAATGTCTATCATATCAGATCATGTTAAAGGGGTGTCGAGCGCCTCTCAAACAAAAGAGAGCTCGATCGAAACTATTTCTTTGACTGGCGAGGGTTCATCCCCCTCGCCTCAATCTGACGTTGTTGGGATCATTCCTAACACTTCCTCCAAGAACGGCAAGGGGTCATCTCCCTCGCCTCCCCTTGAAGCTGCCATCCTTGATTCCAGTTCTGCTGGGTCAGGATCGCAGTCTAAAGGTAATTCTTCGTCAAAGAAAGAAAAATTAGCAAAGTTTCGAGAGGGAGGGAAAAAGGGTTCAAAAGACCCTGTCTCTCTCTATAATGGATATGGGGATGGTCTGATGGACGGTATTGCCGTCGTGGATGTCCATACGGATCCACATGGTAAGCCGTCAAAAAATAAATTTCCCTGACAATGGTAAATTCCATTATTCAATGGAATTGTCGTGGTTTAAAACCAAATTTTAATAAAGTCCAATTATTAATTCAAAAGCACAATCCTTTAGCTATTTGTTTACAGGAAACTTTTTTACGAAATTCTGACACTTTGTCTTTTAGACATTTTGTTGGTTATCATCATCACTCAGTTGGTGATAGTAAAGCTCATGGGGGTGTTTCTATTATTCTTAATGGAGATATTCCTCAGAGCCAAGTCACCATCAACTCGCCTTTACAGGCAGTTAGGGTGACGTTGCATGTTCCTATAACACTCTGCTCTGTATATCTTCCACCAAGTTTACATCTTAATCCCAGAGATCTTGATGACCTTGTTGCACAACTTCCCCTCCCGTATATTATTACGGGATATTTCAATGGTCATCATTCACTCTGGGGTAGTCCAGATGATAATAACAGAGGTAAACAAATAGCGGACTTCATGAACATTAACAATTTGTGTTTATTAAATGATGACTCGCCTACTTATCTACATCCTGCCACAGCTTCTTTTTCTTCCCTAGATCTTACCATTTGCTCTCCGGTCCTGTTTCAGGATTTTACATGGAGGGTAAATGAAGATCTGTGTGGTAGTGATCACCTCCCGATCTTGGTAGATAATAATGGTCCCTCTCCGATCGAAAGACCTCAGAGGTGGAAGTTGCATAAGGCTGATTGGGCTCTTTTCGAATCTCTGTGTCTCTTCTCTTTTGATACAAAGGAGTTAGAAGACGAATGATGAATGCTATAATGATACTTATTCCATTGCAGAACTTCGGGATTCGCTAAAGCGAGCTCGGGACACTGCAACTGGTCCAGATGAAATACACTACCAAATTCTAAAACATCTACCTTTTTCCACTCTCTCAATTTTACTGGATCTTTTTAACCCGATTTGGGTTGATGGGAAATTCCCCCCTTCGTGGCATGAAGCCACAATAATTCCCATCCCTAAACCCGGTAAAGATCATACGAATCCTACCAATTATCGTCCGATCGCTTTAACTAGCTGTATTTGCAAAACCATGGAGAGATTGATCAATCGAAGGCTTGTTTGGTACCTTGAGTCCAACAACCTCATTACTGACCTCCGATGTGGATTTCGGTCCCAAAGGAGCACTCTTGATCATCTCGTTCGTTTTGAAACGTTCGTCAGGGACGCTTTCATCCAGAAGCAACATTTAGTTGCAATATTTTTCGATCTGGAGAAAGCTTATGATACTACATGGTAACATGGTATCATGCGCGACCTCCATAACCTCGGCCTACGAGGTCGCTTACCTATCTTCATTAAAAATTTCCTGGAAGAAAGGTCATTTTATCTACCACACTCTCGCAATAAAAATTAATACAATCCCAGCGTGCCTTAAACCAGGTACAAACGGCGCTCTTTATGTTGATGACTTTCAGATGTGCTATGGTTCTACAGACATGCGGATAATCGAACGTAAGTTGCAGATTTGTTTGAATTCACTTCAACAATGGGCAACCGAAAATGGATTTCGTTTTTCGAAGTCCAAGACTGTCTGCATGCATTTCTGTCAGAAACGAGGTTTGCATCCAGATCCAGAACTTTATTTGGATGGCAACCGCCTTCCAGTTGTGGATGAAACCAAATTTCTGGGGCTGATATTTGATAAGAAATTATCATTTATCCCCCATATTAAAAACCTAATGAGAAATGTCTGAAAGCCCTCAACATATTGAGAGTCTTATCAAATACTGACTGGGGAGCAGACCGTAAGGTCTTACTCCGATTATATCGAGCATTAATTCGATCAAAACTCGATTATGGGTGTATTGTGTATGGGTCTGTCCGCGAGTCTTATCTTAAAGAGCTCGACACCATACACAACCAGGGACTTAGAATCAGTTTGGGAGCATTTCGTTCATCTCCAGTGGACAGTTTATACGTCGAGGCGCATGAGCCCTCACTGCACAACAGACGATATCAACTGGCCCTGCAGTATGCTACGAAAATAGCATCTTTACCAAATCATATTTCATTTAACACCATATTTAGACCTTTTCATGAGCATTTGTATCTGGTGAAGACTAATGTTATCCATCATTCGGTATTCGCATACAACCCCTTTTGTCTAAGGCTGGTATCAGCCTTGACAGTATTGCGAATACCCCTGTCTTTAGGACTCCACCGTTGGCTATATCTCCCCCAAAGATCGATTTCGATCTTACTCAACATAAAAAGAGAGATACTAGCTCTACGGTGTTCCAATCTCTCTTTAGAGAGTTAAGGTCTAAGTATGCTGATTATGCTCCTATTTACACAGATGGTTCTAAGGATGGCGACCGGGTAGCTTCAGCTACCGTGACGCCATCTGAGACCATTTCTGCGTGTCTTCCACCTGCTGCTTCAATATTTACAGCTGAGCTCCAGGCCATTCTTCAGGCCTTGGAGTTCATACAATCCTCTTCATCTTTAAAGCATATCATCTTTACTGATTCTCTGTCCTCCCTTCAAGCAATTAACAATAAACAACTTGAACACCCATTAGTAGCAGATGTTTATCGTCTGCTACTATCTTACGAGTTGACCAGCAAAGACGTTATCGTTTGCTGGCTCCCCAGTCACGCTGCTTTAGATCTTCCCCAATCACCCTTTTTAATACCATATAAAGATTTTAAATCATGTATAAATTATTTTATTTATTACCGCTGGCAACGGTCTTGGGATCTTGCAGGCACAAATAAACTTCATCACATTAGGCCTCTCCTAGGAGATTGGTCCAACTCCTATAGAACCAACAGGAGGGATGAAGTTGTTTTGTGTCGCTCTCGAGGTCATTTTCAAGATTGGTAAATATTTAAATTGGCAGTGAAGTCTGCAATGCTTGTCAGTTGATGCCAGTAAAATGTCAGCTTTTTTAACTTTTTTTTTATTAAAGGGGCAAAGGGAGATCACTCCTACTTCAGCTTGAACAAAATCAATACAAAGGTAAAGTCGATCCTTGGTCTTGCAATCTTTTTGTTTAAGGTAAGTATGTGTTTTAGTTTATTGTAAAAATTCTTCTTTTTTGGCAAAAGTGTTAAATCATTTGTGTGACTTTGTAGCCCTCTAATTCCGCTAATCCAGTAGATATAAATTTCACTTGAATTGTTAAGTTCCACCCAATTCACGTGTTCTGACCATCTCGTAGCATGCTGGACTGCCAAATACAATCTTGGTGTATCCAACGTTCATCGTTTGAACACTAAATTGCGTGCAAAGGAATTCAAATATTCGCAATTATGATATCCGTCAAGAGCATTGTATCGCTGTTCAGTTTTGTGGAATTGGGTGTGGCATAATCGGAGATATGTATCATGTTCAGGTATTAAAAGGGGCCATATTATTGTTTCGCCCAACTCAGTTTATATGCTAGATGCTCGGTAACGATATTGACGATACTGAAAATATGACCGATCAGTTGATTCAGTAACTGATTTCATTATTAGACCCGTGGGTCATCCGTTATTTCACTTTCTTATATAACCATCTGTCAGTGACCCCCCCCCATCCCCCGAGAAGACCCGTCAATATCACCATCATGTTACAATCATTTCTGTCATTAGAAAACCAATTTTCTCTCAGAAAGAATTACGGATTTTGTAAATTAAGAGGATTTAGAAGTGTTCAAGTTTCCCCTCCCCAATACACGGTCAAGGATGGAATACATGTTTCCTTTGACAGGGGCGATACTGAGGCATCAGTAGATGACAATCGGTAAGTGATTTATCAACATGTACCTAGTAGCTAACGGCGGCCAATTTACCTCTATTATTATCATCCTCGTCTATTTCAAATAGTGTCGATAGTCTTATGAGGTGCAACTTTAGGTGACGAATAAACTGGGAGATTTTGTATCCTTGATGTATAATATTTTAGCGTGTTGTTTTATTTTTTAAATTAGTCTGTCCAGTTACAAAATGCCAAAGAGAACATCTGAAACTATACTCCTCACTTGTGAACCATCCAAACGGATTCGATCACTTACCTTCAAGGCAGTGCGGGGCAACTCAGATACTGATCGTGACCCCGAAGATTCGCCAACCACTCACACACAATCACAACCTGTTCCTTCAAGTATAGGACATTCCGAGAATTCTACACATCATATTGCTGAAGTTCACACCCTTCAGCACGATACCATTCCGGATAACATTCATGATAATAACAGTGACATTAATCAAACGATTGCACAGGCCAACCTCCAGTCTATTCCAGTGATAACTCAGGCAGATTCGTTACAAGCATCAGCGGTATACGGTCACCCGGCTGAAAATAATTCAGAATTGGCAACACAACACTTTTCAGGTATGCTTTCAGCTACTAGAGGCTTTATATCAACGCCTGGGAGACCCTAAAACAAAATTTGGACAACTGAATCTAACATTCCAAGGTTCTATTAGACAAACATCAAATACAAAGGGTTGTTATTCATTTTATAAAGATTATGGGGTTTCAAACGGGGTTTAGAATATGACTCAGTGGGTGCAGGATTGTTTTGTTGATGTTTCGGTGTATATATAGAAACTTCTGACCACAATCACAAGCGCGATCCTAGCTTACGATGTAGCTTTCCGACAATTATCTATACTAATATTTGTGACTGTCGTTTGTCTGTATGTCTGTCTGTCTGTTCGGGGTTGGCGGCTACACTAGGTTTGCCCAGAGTCTGAACTTTAGGGTATAAGGGTAGCTCGGACCGGGGAGTAACATAGGCCAGGTGGCGTTAGTCTACCACTTCCGGTTTCGGAGTTATGACCCCCGAGCAAAGCCGGTCTGTTCGGGGTTGGCGGCTACACTAGGTCTGCCCCGAGTCTGAAATTTGGGGTATAGGGGTAGCTCGGACCGGGGAGTAACATAGGCCAGGCGGCGTTAGTCTACCACTTCCGGTTTCGGAGTTATGACCCCCGAGCGAAGCCGGGTATCCTGCTAGTAAATTAATAAAGAAGATCACGATATACTATCTTGCATGATTCTATGTTTTGTATACGTCCAGTGTTCAATGGCGGCTGTTAAAATTGTTGAATGTCCATGCTTAATGTTGGAACTGTCCAAAGTTACTATCAATAAATCGTTGCTAAATTAACCAGTGGTGAAATACCTGGGCACAAGTGGGTATCAACAGTCGCTGTATTGACCACATGAAATGAAATGGGGTGTAACGCCCTACTGTTCTGCTCCGCTGGCCACATGAACAAAATCTCATAATTGAAAGTGGTACCAAATGCCCGCGGGCCTCACATATGGTACCCGTCATTACTGCCGACGTGTTAAATGAAACGTCGAGTATTAGCTTGGAGAAAATAGTAGACACGTTATGTTATTAAGGCCATAATAATTGAAATGTAGAATTAGTTCACGTGCAGTTTGACACTTGCCACGAAGTCATTATAAAACAAGGGATCAACAAATGCCCCGTTAGGTTCGGGTACGTAGATGCGTATGAATGAAGTCGGAATACTCACAAACATGGACTCGACTTCTAAGGCAAAGGAACACTATTGATCCTCATATGATTTCACCTGAATATGAATTGCTCAATGATTTCATCTCCAAATTCAATAATGCTTGTTATGTATATTGCATCTTGTAGTATCTACGGCTGAAAATGATTTCAAATAACTTCTTGTTACAGGAAATGGCGATCGGTTGGCCGTAGAATTAATTGTACCACCAATTAAAGCTGATCAGCACCAAGCTACTGCATTGACCGATACTACACTTTTGCCACCATATGTGATCAGTTCAGTTGTACAATCTGATGGCTCCACCAGTGTTAACCCAATGGAAACAGGGTCGTCCGATCGACCACCATGTGACAACAGAGACATAGAGTTAAAAATAGTTTTATCCGGGAAAACTGGAGTGGGTAAAAGTTTTCTAGGAAACAGTTTGTTGAGGAAACAGTTGTTCGAAACCCGTTTAAGTCTTGTTTCGATTACATCTAATTGTTCGTCCGGCACACGTACACTAAACGACGGCACAATAATCAGAGTATTTGATACGCCAGGATTTTTTGACACACGGTATAAAACAGCTGAATTAGTAAAACACCTGTTTTCTCTATCGTATTTGACTGCCCCGGGACCTCATGTTTTCCTCTATGTGTTGCGAGCTGATGAGAAACTGACAGATGAAAACAAAGATTCCATTTACTTTTTTCGAGATATATTTGGAGCCGATGTAAATAAATATGTGATTTTTGTCTTGAATAGAAAACCAAAGGAGATGGACGCTAACACACTTATTGAAGAGTGCGATTTTTTAAATATCCTTTTTAAGGAATGTCATAATAGGTATGCGACCATAAACTTTGCTGACAGTGATACTGGAGTTGAGAAGTGTGTTGACAATCTTCTACAAATGATCCTTAACACCGTTAGAGACAACGATCGAAAACACTATTCAAGTAATCTTTTCGTAGAAGCGGAACGCTCGTACAATACACAACAAGAATTAAACGAAACACAGAAAGATATGAAAATCCAGCTGGCAGTTCAAGCACAAGAGATAACCGAACTGAAACAACATCAGCTATTCCTACAAAAGAAGTGTGACACAGGTAACACAATCCCCCTTTTTAGCACATTATCCGAACTATCAGTTCTAGAGAAAGACGATGTCGCCTCTGTTTGTACAGCACACAATGAATAAACAAGTTCAAATGTATAGCATCGTCTAAAGAGAGGAGTAATTGTCTGCTGCTATCAGTGGCATTCGCGTATATATTATCTTACTTATGACACTGACTTGCCTAAGGTCACACAAATTTATCTAGCTTACTTCAGATTGAATTAACTTTACTTTTGCAACAAAACTATTTACTTAACATGGACTTGTATTCCTTGTAATACAGGTGCCTCCATGGCGTAATATCATCTGTTCATATTAACTGACTGCAATCTGGTCACAGGTAAAAGACCATGTGATATGGGTCGTATATTACCTTCGCCCCCGTACTTCTGTCCGCCAATCCGTCCTCTACAATTTCTTAAGAACACTAAACAGGCTACGTTTATGATCTGAATGTTTTGGAATTGATTTACTGTATGTTGTTTATATAAGTGAGATGAAGAAGCCTTTTTAATTTCAATAATTTGTGAGCACTCTTACGTAAATTAGGTAAACGGTAATCATCTGTATGAAACTTGTATGCATCATTTTAAATTAGTAAAACGAAACAGCCTGTTGAATTTTAACAATTTCGGTAAATCATTTCCAGAGTTGTTGCCCTTGTTTCAGTTTGTAAAACCTTCTGAACCCTCAAACGACGACAATTATAATTTGATCTGTACGAAATTGTCTTGTAAATGCCCCCACTCCCATTACCTACAAAATAATAACTATGCGACAACCCTTATGGAAGATTTAGCTGCCAGGGAACATATCGTTGCTATTGGCATGGAAGACGCAGAAATATTCCTTATATACTCTTCAAAAAAGTAGGGGATATTCAGAAACAATACAAAACTGCGGAAATGCACTGCTGTTTTTATTAGAGGTAACCAGTGTATGTTAATAACAGGCCAATTGCCTACACATGAACATAAACAGTTCATATAGGCGGCTTATCTGACGGCCCCATTTCACTCGCAAAGAGATACACCGTCAAAAGTGGAAGATTCTGATTTTTTTCTTAATAATGAGTGATTGCTCCACCAATCCTCAGACATTCAGCAATTCGTCGTGACATGCTCCTAATCAACCGTCCAATCACGATTTGGGGCAATCTGACCCACTCCTCTTGCAGTGCCACAGCCAATTCTTGCAGTGTTGTCGGTTGACGTTGACGTCGACGAACACGTCTTCCGATCAAATTACACGACACACACCAAAGCAAAGATACGCTAAACAGTAAATCTTATGCAAGAACCGATAGGAAAGCAAACATGGATAGATAAACCAGCACGCGGCAGTTTTCATCAACCCTTCCTTGAAGTGTCAAATTTGACAATGAACCCCTCCCACGTATATGGCGCTATTGCGTGTTGCATGTGCAACTCAGCGGTTCTGTTGGGACGATAAGTTCTTCATCTGTCATGTCCATGACTATTTATCATATCTCAACCTGCATAGGTATTGCTGTCTCAAACTTCAACATTCAACAATGGGGCGTTGCTAAATGGTAACCACTCAAAATAACAGTGATGCTTACCGTGTGTACATTTGATGTACGTTCATAGATTGGTAGCAAGAAAAATGCTTTTTCTCACATGTTGTAGTAAATTTGCACAGAGGAGAAGACTTTTCACATGAGTAAATGCGTTCATATACGGCCAGGTTTAGTCACATATGCTGATCTACATATAGGTAAAATATATACACGGGCCTTTTATGTGATAAATGTATTCAAAATTACTTATAGGCGATATGGAAAAAAAATATGGCCCTATGCATAAAATACTGGGGACATGGTCCGTTCTTCTAGAAGACTTGAAACCACTACCCTTATGTATAGAGTTACTTAATAGAGGAGTATTCGACACAGAAGATAAACATACAGTAGAGAAAATAAAAGGTCGAACAAACAAATGTAACAAACTTTTGATGAAAGTGTTGGAAAGTGGCTCCAGTTCATTTCCAAAATTCTTAGATGCACTTTCTGCTACAGGACATCATCATGCGAGGAATTTATTAGAAGAAGGTGAGTTGACTTGACCATCAAATTATCTTTCGTCAGTTTATTTCTACTAAATACCCATTAAATGATATTAGAGGATATGGCTAGATATCCAATCAATATTTAAGGAACCCATTGGACGTGGCGACGAAGACGGTCAATGAGCCAACCAAGACAGTCGACAAATTTGCTTGTATTTGTTTTCTTCAATAATCATTCGTATCGAAGTTTATTTGTTCTTATACTATAGCGCCTGAAATCAAGATACATATTTCAAAGTCATGGACAGTCTGACGTGCCATAGGTAGTATGACCCACTGGGCCGTCTGTAAAACTATACTCCTGGAAACAAATTTGCCTGTAGGTATGGAAATATCTAGTCATTTGTTTCTCGGGGCCAAGTATCAAATGAAAACACACGTAATGAATAGGGCTTTGAAGTACTTGAAAGAAGAGGATGATATAGTCTGTAACTAAGATCCGATTCATTTCAGCCACCAATTATTTCATCTTTAGCTAACATCGAGATTGGGAATTTATGTCCAATGTTTAAAGGGTGGCAATAGCTTCTTAGTTATGTCGCTCAAGAAAATGTCTGTCAGTTAACCATTGTCTGATAAGTCAGTCTCATATGTCGTATTGAATTCCTGTTGGGGATGGTCATTAATTTTAGACTTAAAAGGGGCCTTTCGGCCGACGAATTGGAAACTTAGGTAAATAATCGGGGTGACTTCAACATTAGGACAACCTATGCTAGTGAATCAGTGTGAACATTTCAAACAACCGTTGTACAAATATAAGATGCTATCGCCAAATCATGAAAAAAGAGACAATTTGCGAGGAGAAAATCGCCAAAATCTTTTTAAAAATAAACGTGAAAGTCACTTGACCGGATACCAGCGAGTGACCAGATTCCAATGTTGGAATTAATCGATCCCTTTATAGTTTATCCGAAGCACGATTGCAAAGGAGGCCTTCTCTCTTAAGCCCCCATAATGATAATATTAATAATTGATTTATATAGCGCCAACAATTCAACTCAGCGAGCTGCTCTCGGGCGCTTTACATAAGTACAACTAATATAAAAGTACAACAATCACAACTCATTAATCCATAAAATAAAAGACATAAACAAAAAACGGAGGACATTATACAGGTCCTGCCCAGATCCATCACAAGCTCTGCAGAATATATTATATGAATAGTATAAAATGATCAGAAATAGGCTTGTAGTTTCATATCGTGTCTGGATATTCTAGAGTGAACATCTCCTTGTCTTGTTGCATCGCGTCGGGGGTGGCGTTCGGTCATGATAAGGTCTTCTTGGATCGCATGGGTCGTGTCGAGAGCGTGTTGCGGTCTTGTTAGATCTGAACAACATCCAGCTTTGGTTAGACAGAGGCTTACGTGAGCCGCCGATTACAACCGACTGAGGTTCGTAAAGCGTGATACAGTGAAGAAAATAAACAATTGAGTTAATCGTATTGGGGCCTATTTGTTGCTTGGGCCGTAGGCAGCTGTCTACTTGCATATAGGTGGACAGTTCCCCTTTATAAAACATATTAGAGCCACGCCCAATTTTTGTGTTTATCGTATACTGGCCGCAATTCTGATAAGATCATCTTAAAACTTGGCAAATAATTGGCCAATCTAAATGCAAGATTCATCCTTAAGCATGTTACAATTCATTTTTTTCATTTATTCAAACTCTTATTACAGATAAACACGAGGAAGAAAGTTGGGATCCAAGTAAGTATACATCATCTGTTTAATATAAATTAATTCACAAAATCAACAGGTGATCATCTGGGGTCACAGTTAAATGACCATGTGATATGGATCTAACTTTATGTTTGGGCTTTCATGTTATATACTTCTAAATGTGGTAAATGTATTCAACTTTCCTTACAGGCAATATGCGAAAACATTGTGGCGTTATGCGAGAACGGGATTATTGCATAATACAGAGGAAATTTCCCTTTCTTCTAAAAAACTTGAACCCACTGCCCTTATGTATAGCATTATTTAGTAGTAGAGTATTCGACGCAGACGATAAAGATCAAATAGAGGCAATACAAGGTCGGGGAAATCAATGTAACAAACTTTTGACGAAAGTGTTGAATGAATGTGGCCACAACGTATTTCGAAAATTCTTAGATGCACTTACTTCTACAGGACATCATCACGCGAGGAATGTATTAGAAGAAGGTGAGTTGACTTGATTATCAAATTATCTTACTTCGGTTTATTTCTACTGAGGGGGGTTTGATGACTGAATGGTTAGTACGGTCTGTCATCGAGTCAGCTGGCGGGTTTTCGATTCCCCGGTTGTACGTGACAAGGAGTAGGGTCGCCTGTCCAACTTCGTCGGTTTTCTCCGGATCCTCCGGTTTCCCCCCCCCCTGCTAAAGACCCCTACGCGCAATCGAATTATTGAAATAAAAAATTGAACCATGTGTTAGTCCCGAAATGACATAGTTTGTGTCGAGTGGAGGTTAAACTCTCTCTCTCTCTCTCTCTCTCTCTCTCTCTCTCTCCATTCTACTGACTGGTAAAGTATAAAATAACATCAATTTGCAGTGGAAATAATGATATTTAGCACATACTGATCACATTACCACATCAATCTGCATGCGACGACCAGTTGATCCTCGGAGCCAAGTATCAAATGCAACAGTGTGAACACTTTAAACAACCGTTGTACAAATATAAGCTGTTGTCTTTTCGAGGAGAAAATCGCCAAAGCCTCTTTGAAAATGAAATTGAAAGTAGCTTGACCGGATACCAGGGAGTGAGCAGTTTCCAATGGTGGGCTGGGGTTCTTCATAAAGAGTGATACAGATACAGTGAAATAAAGTGCAATGAAATGGGGTTTAACGTCTTACTTTTATGCACCGACTGGGATAATAATGATAGGCATACAGTGAAGAAAATAAATATTTCAGTTAAATATGTTAGCCGAGTTGTTTTTTGTGCCGTAAGCAGTATTGGGCAATCCGCCTCTATGGACAGTTCCCCTTTATAAAACATTATA